TGAGCCTAGCACCTCAGGATGGCTTGTATGTTATGGGCCAGTGCCAAATCGACACTGTCTTCTAGTTGAGGTGGAACATGGCACAAAAAACACACTGGGAGGAACTTCAAAGCCTTTCAGTTCATCCCTTGCCCTAAGGCAGAGCGAGTTCTCGTGTACCCAGATGTTTTTGTTTCAAACACCACCACAGCTGTTTAAGAAATGCTATTAGGATTTCAGCAGTGGTTTTTACTGGTGAAACTTTGGAAGGCAAATCTTTATTTTCATGTTCCGGCGTGGGAGAGTTGTCCCTGGTGGTCAGAAAAAGCTGTCAGAAGTCAAATGCCAAAGAAAAGCAAGCAAAGAAGGTGGTCTGGGGTTATTTTGTGACAGCTAAAGCTTAAACTAAGCCTTAGTTTGCCTCCTGAACTTTACTTTCTCTTGCAATCCATACTGTAAGTAGTGTGATGCTGTGAACGTTGTGGCACAGCGCAGGAAGTCAATCTAGCAAATAGAACAGGAAAATTTGTAGCGCAAACTCTAGCTGTTCTGTATCATTTTGTGCCACACATCTGTGAGGTTGAACTCTGGTGCCCACACGATGCAGCCTGAGGTTAAAGTGTGTCCTGTGGTTACCGAAGAGTCACTTAACCTCCCGCCCTCCAGCTGCAGTTCGTGGAAATGGTGAGCTTTACCCTGGTGATGCTAAAGGTGTTGTCCAGAGACATTTGGGGTCGGCACTGATGATGGAAGCTCATCTCCAGGCTCGTTTTAAAGGAAAGCTGATTTGATGTTTAGCAATGCTGCCGTTCAGACAGGAACGACTTATTTTCTTAAACGACACTGTGGAGATTCAGGCTTTGTTGTGTTTTTGTTGCTTTGTAGGAAATGGTTGAACCGTACTGCTGTTTTAAAGAGGGGCAGCAGAAGGCTTTACAAATTTCTTTCTGCTCCCTTTAAGGTTGACCTGTGTTTAGAGTGTATTGAATGGGCCAAATCAGAGAAGAGGACTTTCCTACGCCAGGCTCTGGAGGTACGTTACGTCGCACATCCCAAAGCTGTGTAATAGCCCCTTTCCTTGCTCAGATTTAATACCTGTGCAAGCAGAGAACTCGTAGTGTGTCGTCCAGATCTTTGTCTGTGCCACGGACGGGTGATAGCGATGGTGCCGGAGTCAGCGACTCTCCTTGAACAGGCAGGGTTTTACCCGTTGTGCCTCTAACCAATCTTCCACACGGTCCATCTCGCAGAACCGCACCGTACAGTGTACTGAACACAAATTAGTTTAGTGAAGTCTGTGCAGATAAGAATGTAAAGTTTCATTTTATGAAATAAATTTGTTCTACCTTTCTCTGGCTTTCCTCACAGCAGTTCCTTTTCTGTTCTCCAGGCGAGGCTGGTCTCTTTGTACTTCGATACCAAGAGGTACCAAGAAGCACTGCAACTGGGTACGTCTCCCACTAGATGGTGGTAGCAGCTCTTTGCTTTGACATTAGTCTTGCGGCTGAAACGATCGACTAAGTCATTCATGTTCCTCGCTAAGTTCTGTAGGACTTGGACATTAATTTCTCAGTGCTGTACCAGATCTGCCATCTTTTGCTACAGCTTGGTGGTAAAAAGCTTTAAGAGATCTCTTCATTCTCAGCATTTGTGCATTTCAAATTATTTTGGAAGCAAAGAGGAGCTGTATCCAGTTGAAGGCCATCAGGTTTGGCTCCTGCTGGAACACATGTAGCATGCTGCTGTGATCAGAGAGCTCGAAGGGGGAAACCAGCTTTCTTTGCCGTGCTAAAACACAGCCTCAGTAAAAGCAGTAGTAATGCCAGGCAACGGCAAACCTCTGAGGATGTAATTAGACAAGCTCTTGTGAAGGCAGCGTAAAGGCTTTAAGAATCTGCTTCTGCACCACCTGAGGGATGGTAATTAACCGTGTGAACTCTCCTGCTCTGCTACAAAGCAGAGTAAAGCAGGTCATCTTACGTGGGCCAGCTCCCTTCGGTGCTTTACAAACGCTGGTTTTGCAAATGGCTGCGGTGAGGTAAGGTGAGGGGGAAGCTGGCTGAAGGGTGTTGGTACAGACAGCTCAGCGCGGGGGCGGGAGCGGGGCTGGGGGATGGCAGGAGTGCGCACTGGGGCCGTGGTGACACCTCGCCAGGGACCTGTCACTTCTTAATCAGTGTGGTGGCACGAGCGCCTGTCGTGTCCAGGGTCCGGCTTGTGTCTGATCAGCATACTGAGTTATGTTAAGTGCTCCGATACACGGAGTTCAGTGTCAAATTAGAATTAGTTTGCATATGGCTGGGTAATGAGCTCAGCTTTAAGCTGATCAGAGTCCACGCTCCACAGCTATGCTTAATTAAGTTAATTAACGATGGTGGTAGCTGAGGGAGTTGTGGAGGCCTGTACCTATAGGCTGGCCCCTCTGGAAGCTCTGTCGAGGGGGCCGCGGG